ATGAGCAGACAGTGGCGGCTGGAGACCAGCGGCCGAGCCTCCTCTGCAGGCCTGACAGCTGGCTGCCCTGCCCCGCAACCAAAAGGCAAGGAAGGGAGCCTGGTGGCACGGATGCCAACCACCGTTATCTCCTATTTTAGACTGACCCAGAACCACAGCGCTGTTGCAAGGCCAAATAAAATAGAGTCCTATTTTGGGTCCTTAAGAGGAAAGGGGTGCTCGCTATACCTGAGCCTCACTGTGTTTATAATATAATCACTACTCAGATGGGGGCAGGAGCTAGAGAAATTGATTTACAAACTATCTAGCTGGGTCTAGGAGTTTGTTTTTATTAATTAGGAAGAAAAGAGAAGTCCTACTACCCTTCTTACATGACAGTCTTATGGATGTTATTATTTTTTAAATAGGTTTAAGGAAAGCTGACTCAAAAGCATGAGTTGCAAATAGCATCCTGAGAATGCTGTGAAGCAATACATATTTCATATCACTCCTGAATGTGGCCAGATGTAAATAGCAGCACAGACATTTAAAAGCTATTCTCACTGGGGGGAAAAAAAAAGTAATTAATTGGTGTTATTCACAAAGGACTTCTCCAATTTTTTTTTTTTTTTTTTTGGTAACCAGCACAGCTTTAATTACAAGTAATTGTTCTCAAAATCAGGCTGCTCATAAGTTCTGCATTCTAGACAGTGATTATGCATCAATACACTAATCTATCACTTTCATTATTTCAGGCATTTGGGTGTGTAAATTTGTATTTAATTCAAACAACAAACTAGGCAGTCCCCACTGTCCTTTCTATCAGTGTACGCCTTGTTAAGGCACGGATGATTTAGATTTTCATTCATTTGCTTTTACTTGGAAAACTAGTACATTGTTGCGGATTTTTTTGCTGACTACTATGTAAATACAATGGCATCGGATGTACAAGGAGCTGGGTTTGTGACTAGTTACTCTGATAGTTTACTAGGTATCTCTGTAGAACAGCATTTGCTACCTCATTGTAACGAGCTGAACTTTGCAGAAATTCCTCTACAGAAATCTCCTAGTAGATCAATAGGAGTTCATTCCTCACCTCACTCAGAATGTGCATGCTTCTTCTTTCCCAAGTTAGACCCTAGAATCATCACCGGGAATACCGAACTGCAGTGCACTATTTATTCTCTACTGGGGCTTCGTATATCTGAGTGAATTTTAAAAATAAAATTCAGAAGCATTCTCAGGACATCTGATGGGAATACATTAAATCCACCTTGTCCTTGTGGACGACACCACTACTTTGTTTTCTGATCTCTTATGCATGCAGGCAGAAATTTTTATTTTTTGAATAAAATACGTTTCCTTGAGTGCAAGACAAATCGTGAAGCCCTTCCTTCCTTTTCTAACTTGCTTTTTAGTGTGCTTGCCTGATTCCTAGGTCAGAGAGTTTTAAATGAAAATATAGAATTAAAAATCTTATCCATACTTGTAAAAAATAAAACAATCAAGTGGTATCTCTGGTAAGCACTTACTTGGTTGACTAACCTCACAGAAGACGCACACAAAAATCTTTCAGTTAAACTGGAGACTATATTATCTGATGACAAACTATGCTGTTATCCATTTCAAACCCTTTTTAAAATTAGAAACATTGTACAAAATTTACATTTAAAGCTACTCATTTTCTTTGTTAATTTTTTTATTAGGCTTTCTTATTAAATGAGCATAATACAGAGTTGAAGTAGCCCAGAATTAGACTGCTTTGTACACTCTATTCTATCTGTCTTTCCCAAGCGATGTTTTTATTTGAAGTCACGGGAATTTGCTTAAGTAAAACACTGCCAGTGATTTCACAATATTTATTGAGAGACTTCTGTGATTATAGACATTCAGTGAAAATAGGGCACATGATGAAACGAACAAACCAATGAAGGAATAAGAAGACAATGACCACAGAGGACACATTCCTGTGCTCCTAAAGGAGTTCACCACCCACACAATAACGTGCACAGGTGTATGCTTGTGCACACGCATGCACGCGCACACAGAGTGCTTACTCCAGGTAAGTACATGAACATAATAAAAACTGGAAGACTGAGGATTTAAGAACAAAGAGGCCCTCTGAAAGTGGAGGGACCAGATTTACATGGGGGTTTGTTTGGAAAGTTTCTAGAAACATCACAAAACAAATAGTAACCTAGCTTGTCATCAGATAAAATAGTCACGAGTTTGATTCAATAATTTTTGTTTCATGAAGGTTATTTAAGCAATGTTTCCCAGTGCTTTAATAGAGTATCACTTAAATGAAAACTTTAGAAAGTTGTTTTGGAAGAGACAGGGAAGACTCTAGCGTGAGTGAATAATGTGGGAAAGTTTCCAGGCCAGGATGAGCGGGCCCAGAACAAGAGCGAGCTGAGATGGTGCGACTCGGCCTCTGCACAGAGCTAGAGAACACAAGGCAGGAAACTCCACGAGGATGTGTGGCGGAGGAGGGAGAGGCTTGTCGAATCAGGTGAACTTGCTTCAGCGGGCCATATGGCAACTGGGTCTCACTGAGTTCTCACCTGTGGTCACTGCCACCTTACGTAAGTTCTCACTTAAGCCAGCCGCCCAAACCAAAGGTTAGTAAAGGTGAGACCATCTATAATAACATGTGTTCAGCCGCTGCCTACAGGATCTCAAAGCACATCAATTTAGAGAAAAATAAGTGGTTATCTGACACATACAGAAAAAAAGAACCCAAGCACTTATTTACGTTTTTAATTTCCATTCCTCTATTAATGAACATTAGTGTGTTGCCTAAGACTGCAGTAATCCTGGGGTGATCCTGCCTTGGAACACATAGCAAACATTAAGGGAAACAGCACCCCACTTATGAACGTGGGACGTGCTGACCCTGTTTCCAATTATGGACACAAACAAGAAAAGCTGAACACAACCACATCCCCAACAAATGTGCTTTTGTATGTAGTTTTTCCATCACTTGTATTGCACAATTGGGGACTCGGTAAAAATGGCTTTTGAATTGAAGAGATTAATTCACCTCTTTACCATATGATTTGTGCCACGTACAAAAGGAACTTTCCATGAACTCAGAGAGTTAATAAGTGAGAAACTCATCCTTCAAGCCATGGAGAGAGCAAAGGCGGGCGTTTGTCTGCACGGGAAGCCCCGTGACCAGCCCTTAGCAGACTGAGCACACCGCTGTGTAGTACATTAGTTCCCATTTCTGTTTTAGGTGTAATTCTCCATTGGCTCAACAGGCTGTTGTAAGCAAACGGAGCTCCCTTTGGTAAAAATTAAAGAATTATAAGAGAAAAGATAAATCGATGTTAGAATTTTGAGAATCTAGTTTACAAGTGCCCACTTAAAATTTTCATCTTTAAAATTTAAATGTCCACGGTTGTTTTTATTGTAGTTATATAAAATTTGTGGAGGGAGAGGTTGTTTACAATGTTAGAAAACAATACCATTGCTAGAAAAATTTTCTTGGGGTTGCAAGGTAGGTTGGATAATACATTAGCAATGAAACAAATGCATCCTTTAGCATTTGTAATGCCTGACACATAAAGATGGAGCAGCTGAAATAACTGTCATAGCAAAAGTGAATGAAAATGACCCATTCTGCATATACAACTCCAGTGCTTTCAGTGAAATGAGGGTTTACCACTTTTGCCAAATAACAAAAGGTCATTTCCTAATAGGTAAAAAGACAGCATGGCAGCAAGTCTTTCCTGGAATTTGAGATGGAGGAGTTGAAGTCCACACTCTCGGTGGATTTCAGGAGGAAAACACATGGGGACCTGCAGTGCTGTGAAAGGGATATTGTCTTTTCTGAAGAGGCTGTGCTTCGATCTCTCCATAGGTAGAGGTAGCTTTGAGTGCTACCTGCAAAAGTAGTATCACTTTCAGCCCTCGGATAAAATTTTAGCCTTTCCTGGGCGTGTTCATGTGGCTGGCTATTTTCAGCTTTATTATCATCCACCCAGCGATAGGCCAATTGTTACTGAGCAATTAAGATCCACCTTTAACTCTAGATGCAGAAGGAAATGTTAAGGGGTTGCAAGAATTTTTCATCAAATTCTGCCAAATTTAAAACTATAAAAAGGAATCATTTATCTTTTTTAAAAGGAGGGGGGAGGAAGGAGCAAATGCCGTGTACAAAGTCAAAGAGAGTCAATCAGATTCTGTTTTCTCAAATACATTCCATGGGTCTCAAAAAGCATACAACTCCTAAAGCTTTGTCTCCGCCTGGTATCTGCCCCACCTTTAACTCTAGATGCAGAAGGAAATGTTAAGGGGTTGCAAGAATCTTTCATCAAATTCTGCCAAATTTAAAACTATAAAAAGGAATCATTTATCTTTTTTAAAAGGAGGGGGAAGGAAGGAGCAAATGCCGTGTACAAAGTCAAAGAGAGTCAATCAGATTCTGTTTTCTCAAGTACATTCCATGGGTCTCAAAAAGCATACAACTCCTAAAGCTTTGTCTCCGCCTGGTATCTGCAGCAATTAAAAAATAAACTGCAAAAAATATCTGAATTGTAGTAGAACATACTATTTTTGTAACAGGTTTTACAGAAGCTTTTTTATTTATAGCTTTTAAAGGTTGTAATTGTGCCTTTTATGGCATTGGGAACTCTTAATTTTATGTCCTCTAAACTACCAGAAAAGCATGGTTATTATTATAATATGAAATAACTTTTTTATTTATAGCTTTTAAAGGTTGTAATTGTGCCTTTTATGGCATTGGGGACTCTTAATTTTATGTCCTCTAAACTACCAGAAAAGCATGGTTATTATTATAATATGAAATAAAGAATAGAAACTATGCTCCTAATTTAACTAGTCACTTCTGGTATTTCTCAAGCTTATAGAAACCAAAAACACTTATAAGATATCTGTTCTTTGATTTTCTTAATGAAATGCACACACATGTTATTTTTTATAATGTAAGCATATGCTTGCACATGTATGATCTTTACGAATTTATTTAGCAAGAAACCAAATATGTGAGGAAAACAGACTTTCAAGCAGTGCTTTAATTGTCATTCATGCGTGTTCTACAGATCATTACTGAATGTTTACAGGTCCTGCATGGAATAACTTTACACCAAAGAAGAGGGTAACATATCTTCATTGTTTATAAAAATGACAGCTTCTAATGGCCCATATTAGCTTTAACACAAACTATTAAATCCCCTTCATTACATTTTTCTGTGTTCTGTTTCAGCATCTCGCTAGCTCTGGGAAGTAGGTGCAAACTCCTAAGGAAACACGAGCACACATTGAGACGATTACAGATCATGGTTATTAGATAAGCCTCGGGAGGATGTTTTTCTTGGGCTGCTCACAAGCATTTTGAAAGAGTCGTGTTCCAGGTTTGAGGTCCCATGTTTCTTCCTCGTAAACTATGAGCAGCTGTAGCACATGACCTACTTCTGTAGGGCCCTGTAATGATTTCCTTCCTTCGGAGGCTTCAGGAGTCCTCCTTCTGCCCTGTGAAAAAAGGGACAAATATTTTAATCCAAGCAAAATGCTGAAGCAGGTTTTGTTGGTTTCAGGGAAGAAACTCAATACAGCTCCAGCACTGAGTGTAGGCCTCAAATTGGAACCATCTGGTCTGCAGAAGGGCTCTGAGACCTTTGGGGAAGACAGAGACAGCCTTGCCTACGGCTGCAGCCCATACACCTGCAGAGATGGCTGGCATCTTGGAAAGCACTGGACTCACCCAGGAATTGGAACCATTTACATGGCAGGGAAGCCCTGGCGGCCTGGCATTAGCACTTGGGAATGTCATGTAAGGATGGGTGACAATTGCTCAGGTGACAGCTCCATAAGCAAATATTCCTCGTAACGAAAGGAATGCCTCCTTATTCTTTTAGAACATAGACACAAATCAGACACAAATTCATAACTCTTTCTTTTTAGCAGTCAGGGAAGAAAGTCCTCAGGAAACTATAGGTTAGTGTATACAATATTTTTAGAGTTACCCTTAAAGCTGGGGTTGGGGGGAACACATTTAAAAAGCAACATATACCTGTTCGGAATTATCTATATTCTTTTTATTTTCTTGTTTAGAGGGTTATTATTCCTGTTGGCTAGTTTTCCTTTCCAGCGAAGGGAAAGCACTTTTGGAATGTGCTCTAATATCTAAAGCTAGGAGACTAGACCAGTTCCTGGGAGGTTATTTTAAATAAATAATTTTTTAAATTTTTGTGTTGCAAACTCTCTGTGGGTGAGGGATGAGAGTATCAGCCCATTTCCAATAAAAAGACAAGAACCTTTGCTTAGCCAGATAACAGAAATCTTATTATTTAATTTTAAAACCAGCTTGGAATATATTTTCTAGAAAGAAAATAGGACATATAAAGAACAGATTGAAATTGAACACAGGTTGTTCATTTAATAAATATATTTTACAAATATTGGTTGATGAGAAATATATCATTTTTAATCTGGGTTTTAAATTATTTACTGTGGTTAGAAGCATAATGAGTCCAGTGTGGCCATTACAGAATCCTAACTCATGTGACCAAACTTGACACCCCGGTGGGGGGCCTCACTTGAACCTCAATGCCCAAATCAGAGGCTGATTTACCCAAAAAGGGCCAAAGGTGGCGATTCAGAGAAAATACAGGAGAGATGGTTGCAATCTTGAGTTTAAATTTTTAGAAGTGTAAATTTATCTGGTTTCTTCTAACTAATCTTTTTAAATAAGCCAGTGGACCATAATTTTTTGCTTATTGTAAATAAATGTATTGGTTTATTGCCATTAAGTGTATTGACCAATGGAAATGACACATCAAGATGTAGATAATATAAATGAAGTAAAAATATTATATTTTTTAAAAATGAGGAATTGTTAGAAGGAAAACATTTTTTTTTTAATTCCAAGGGGAAAATAAGAATTTAAAAGTAACATTTGGATAGCAAGAACATCTCTCCTTTTTAAAAAGTTCTAAGGAAATACACAGTGCAAGGTTCCCAGGCACACCAGGAGGGGCAACCTGACTGCTGTGTCTCGATTCTGAGATTCTGAGGCATCCTCACATGCACACTTTGTCATGAGTCCCTGGGAGGGGTGCAACAGGGTTGTGCACCTTGGGCTGACTTTTTTGCCCTATTCCGAATTCATATGCATGAATCTAAATTTTTAACCAAATCTTCGTCCTCTCTCCTCTTGAGGCTGTTCCACACTCCTGCCCAGGCCCCCGGCTGCACCCAGCCAGCTCCTCCTCTCTCCCCACCCAGCAGCCTGCACCGCTGCTGAGCACAGGGTGAGACTTAATGGAGCTGAGCACACTTCCTACCAAGCTTCCTGTGCGAAACCAGTCAGCTGAGACTGGGAAAGACCCGCCATCACACGCCAGAAGCCAGGGGAAAACCAAATGGCGAGCCTGCTGCAGGGGCGGCTTCCAGAAAGCTTCTGCCTGTCTTAGGGCTATTCTTTTGACACCTTTAATAGGGGCTTGGGTTTTTCTAGAAAACATTGGCACTGTCTCACTCATGTAGCTCTGCAAGAATAGCCATACCTACACTGTCCCACCAACTCCAATGAGTTGTGAAATTCTGAGACGTATCAATGCCTAGACTTGGAGAATTAAGAAATCCTGCAGTGTGTCTTCATGAGTCATTTTAAATACAGGGTTTGATACCATCAACTTAGCTCCTGAATTAAAGCAGTGATTATAACAATCACAAAGCAACAAGGTCAACGTTCTGATGGTTTTATTTGAAAAGCACCCTTTTCTACAAAAGAGAACTAATCAATATGAAATACACATATATTTGAGAGAAAAGCCCACCCTGTACTCAGGAAAGGCAAACAGTTGGGAGTGGGCGATTTCGGATTTGATTTATGAACTGGGAAACTACTTCTGACCTAAAAAAAACTTTTTTTGGCCAAAATGGTCAGGAGGTGATGAATTCTGACTTCCCAGCCCTTCACTGCCAAATCTTAACTGCCTGAAAACTTACAGAAATGTTTGATTAAAACTAGAATAAAAAATCTCCAGTTGCCTTCAGCAAACCACAGCACAAGGGTGGGAAAAACAGTGCCAGGTTGCAGCTGAAGTATAGTTACTTGGCGACTGCTGAAAGTACTGCTCCCTTCCTGTTTAATAATTAATTCAACTTTAAAGCCCCAAGGATCTGGACTCAGCACCAGCTTCACAAAGCAGTACAGAAACAAAATGCTTCCAGAACTGGAGGGGGGATAGAGGAAGAAAGAATCTAACATTTCAAGAAACATCACCACATGGGGCCAGCAAGCGGGGGGTGGGGTTTGGAGGTGGAAAGATCCAGGCTGGAGAAATTCAAAATAAAATAAATACACACAAAAGCAAGGTTATTCACGGCCACTGGCACCAGGACTGGGAGCGGCACAGTGAGCCGGAAGTCATCCACTGGGGACGCAGGCGAGGTGCCCGCGGGCGCGTGGGGACCACGAGGGCGATGGGCTCAGTGTCTGGGGAGGGGAGGCCCGGCCGCGCCTCCATCGGCGGCCCCTGTCACAGGTGGGCAGTCGGCCCTGCCTTCCTCCCCTGTCCTCTGACCCAGATGCACCCCAGCCCCGCAATCTCCCACCAGGGGAACGGCTGCAGATGACCCTGATGTGAGACAACGCGAGGGCAGCTGGAGGGAAACGTGGGCACACCGCACACACGCGTGCACGGGGCAGGGCACGGACTCGCCGAGCGGCAGCTGCTCTGTGAAAACCCAGCAAGTCCCCAGACTGAAACATTCAGGTACCGAAGTTAACACCCAGCACAGCCGCAGCCAGCTGCAGAAACGAGCCGGACATCCAGTGGGGCCTGCACTGTGCTTTGCGATTGTTGTGAATCGTTTGCTCTAAGTTGGTGAATTCGGTGCAGAGAGTAATACTTTGCAAATGATGTCAACAGGCAGAAGCCACTAAAAGCGCGTCAAATCTCTTACCAGACACAGGGCAGGAGGAAGAATGTTCCAGAATGACCGCAGGCAGACCCACCTCCAACACACGGACTGTTCCTGTGCATCAGGAAGATCAAGCATCCCTCAGCTCTGCCAAGAGAGGGCCCACACCAGCAGCGAGCAGATTAATTAAACCAAATGAAGGCCCAAGCGGCCAAAGAAAAGGGAAGAGCTATTTAAACACCAAATTGTATTTACTTTTTACTTGTTATTATTATAAAGAAGACAGCGTAGAACGCTCAGGCAGATCCTCTGAGGCTGTAGTCGGGTATTCTGGAAAGACATTCATGTAAATGATGGAGTTGAACAAATAATGAAATACCCGAGTATTTTTCCTAATCCTTACACAGGAATGCTTTTAATACTCTACAATCATCAAAGCTGTATGGATTTCCTTTATTTTTACTTCATACATAAATTAGTTATAAAATGTCTAAATCACACCTCCTTTGTATCTATTTCCTCCCACTTCAGATCAATGGCACTGCCTTGACAACGCAGTGGCTGTCTTTTAAAAATAAGAGTTTGTGTTCCTCTTGACTGAGTCCTTAAAACTATGCCAAACTCAAGTTCGAAACTTGTTTTCAGTTATTAAACAATTCAAAACCAGAAGGTAAATATGTTTCTTCTATTTTTGAGTCAGTGAATGTTTAGCTGCTGTTTTTTATTTTTTAATTTCAAGTTTGGTTTCAGGCTAACGTCCCTGTTTTCTTTGCAATGCTCATAGCAGTTTGGGTGAGTGAGGGACATGACCCCAAACAAGTCACCTAACCTTTCAGTGCTTCAGTTTCCTGATCTGTAAAATGTGGCCATGCATCGTTTTTACCGCAGAAGTTGTCATAAGGATTGGGTGGTGCAATGGCTCTCGAGCGTCGGGCATGGTGCTCGTGCACAGGAAGCTCACCTCAAAGTCATGAGCAGCAAAGTGTGGCCAAGACAACTCCCTTAACTAACACTCCTAGGACGTGATTATTTAACCCACGTGGTATGTTCTGAGTCCTCACGTACCCCTTTAACTGTATAAAATAGGTAAGTTTTAAGGAGTAGTAAAGTGAATTTTTGGAAAACCCCTCATATTTCCAGTCCACAGGAGAGCTTCCTATTTGAAGCAGCCTCAACAGTGAGTCCTTTCTTAGAGCAGCAAATTCCTTTGTGGTGAGAATAATTGTCTATCAGCTTATCATTTTTCAAAAAACATAAATAGATTCATCTATTTCCATGAGGCAGTGTGTTGTCATGGGAAGAGCACCAGGCTATGAGCCAAGACAGCCCCTGGGCTGGCCCAGCACTAGCTGTAAATCCTGGTGAGTTACAAACCCAGGCGCACCCCCTGGTTTCATGGGAGGGGAGGGAAAACTTGCATTCACACACAGCCCACTATAAATCGGTCCAGACTGTGGTAAGTGCTGAAATAGGGCCATGAATAAAATGGACCAGAGGATTTATAAGGCTGTCCAGCTCTACAGTTCTGATTCCCTGTGAATCATTGATTCACCAATATACAGGTAGTGCTCAGTTGCTGACTCACTCGCTAAGTGTTAACTGTGCCCTGTTCCCTCCTGTCCAACCTTTTAGCAAAATCCACAGGGAACTGGTGGTATTAGGTCATTTGGAAAGTAAGTGCCCGTGGATGTAGACGTGCCCTTAAAAAGGGAAAAGATGTGACCCAGGGTTAAAAGAGCGGACATCAAACTTGACTCTGGGGAAACCGATATATTTCCTAGGGCAAGGGTATAATATTTGAAATTTATGAGGTTAAAATATTGTGCTGGAAATTAGTGGATAAAAGAGAGGAAAATGAAGAAAATGGCACAGCCTTTTTTCTTCCTCTCTGTGACCTCCTCCCCATGGTTGAAAGACTCTTCATAGTGACTGAGGGGGGACCCTGGACTCTGACAGGGCAGGAATCTTCATCTCAGTTTTCCCATCTGAAAAGTGGGGATTTCAACCTCAGATGGTTGCCTTGATGATTACATAAGCTGATATATGTAAATCTCCTGGTGGAACACACAGCACTTACCAAGTTCTCGGTGAGTGTCAGCCATCACCATTGAAATATGAGCTGTGTTTAACTAAAGAGCCTGTGATTTGTGTCACATAACTAATATCACAAGCAGAGCTTTTCTGCCTCTGTATTAGTCTGCTCAGGCTGCTACAACAAAGTGCCACAGACTGGGTGGCTTAAACGACAGAAATTTGTTTCCTCACGGTTCTGGAGGCTGGAAGCTGGAGATCGAGGTGACGGCAGTGTGACACCTTCTCCCTAGCTGGTAGATGCCGTCTTCTCCCTGCGTCTTCATGTGGCCTTGTCTCCACACGTCTCTGTGTCCTAACCTCCCCTTCTTATATAGACACCAGTCATAGTGGATAAGGGCCCGCCTCATTTAGCCTTAACCTTAATTGTCTATTTAAAGACCTTATCTCCAAGTACAGTCACATTCTGAGATACCAGGGGTTAGAAATTCAACATATGAATTTGGGGGGGAGGGTGACATAACTCAGCCTTCATACCAGTAAAAGCATGGCTTACATTACATATTTAAAAGTAACATGGGTATACAGATGAAAGAACGGGGAAACAGCCTCCATCCAGACCCCTGACATACCCTTCCTGAGATGAAGCAAGCGAGCCCTCTGACTATCCCCGATAAAGAACAGACTCGCACAGTCTGTAGACACGTTGAAATCAAGCAAAGGCGAGCACTGTTGTAACACGAGTGGAACTGATACATGTCATGTACTTGTTGACTCAACTCACGAAGCTTCGATAACAGAAACCAGCAGAAATCTGCTTGAACCTGGGTTCACCAGGGACAGAGAGGAAGCGGACAAGCTGCCTTGGTCCTTGGCTGGCTTGACCTAGCACTGAACTTTGTGACTTATCAATTTATAAAGAGACAAAAGGGATGTCTCACAAATGCAGTTCCACACTCGGACTTTATAAGGTTCAGGGACTGATAGATCCGCCCCTTCCCACTGTCTTCTCTGGGAACCTTCCCTTAAATACCTTGCCTATAAATAACTGCCCTTTTGCACACAGCATTTTTTGCACCCTGCCATTGTGCAGGAGAGGATTGGGTTAATTATTTAACTGATTTCAATTTTTAAATTTCTTTACTCAATAAGTTTAGATGTATATTTATGTTCCTTTCAGATGTTTTTCTTCTGGGCTCTTTTAGACTCCCATTTTGGGATTTACTAAATATATCAGCCTAAGAAAGTTATTTGAGCAGCATATAATTTCATTAGATATTGGTCACCACATTGCTTGAGCATGGAGCTTTCAAAGAAAATTAAAGTGAAAAAAAAAAAATAAGATCTGGTATTGGTTATTAACTCCACCTCAGGGTGACTTCTCTTCAGGGGCAATTAAATAGCAGCTCTGGGCTGTTAAGTTTAGTGGTTTCACTTGTAGGTGGCACACTCTTCTTCAAGGACAACCTCAATTCATATCGCTTTGATTTTATGTGATGACACTGAGGCTGCCTCTGCAAAATCAGATTTTGTTTGAAATTGTAGATGTGACCACATCTATGTGTTCTGACCTTTCTTCTTTAAGAAACAAGTTTTGCATTACCAGGTAAGTGCCCTTTCAGTAGAATTTTCATGGAACACTGGGGACATCCTGTGGTCAGTTTAGTTTAAGGCAGCCAGTCTTTCTCAGCAACTATCTCAGGGGATAAAGAAATAAATGCCCCACATAAATCCTAGCTCGTTTTGCAAGACCAAAAAGCAAAAAGAAAGGAAAAAAGAAATACATTCTTGTTCTTAATCATTCTTACAGTGTAAGTATCTCTTTCTTGGAGCGATGTGTTTTTTCGGCAAACAGGACTGAAGCAAGTCCTTGTAGTGAACATTTTTGTTAAGAATAGATGTTTTAGCAGCTTCTTTGAAACACGGGGCCAGCACCGTGATGTCAGGCATTGCTCTTCCATCGTACCTGGCTCTTACCATCTGCTCTCCCACGTTCTCCACAGCTTGGCTCAACTTCTAGTCCTCACAGGAGACAGCCTTCTGCAAAAGAGCACACAGCGTGGCTTAAAGGGAAAACAGTGGGTATTTTGGCAGTTTTATACCACAGATAGTGCACCGGTGACACTGAATTGAAGCCATTTAGTTGTAAATGTGATATTCCATTTGACAAGTTCCCTTGGCACAGCACTGAGCCTCCCACATTGAATAGAGACAACGCTGTAGGACTTGGGGAACAAAGCCACTCACCGGAGTAGCAGACCAGAGGGGCTCACAGAAGCATTTGTCTGTCATTTGGAATCATAACTCAGCTCAACACACATGGTACCAGGGGCAAGTAGGTCAGTTTAAGCAGTGAAGAGCAAGCAATGGAGTTTATGTTGTTCTTCTGTTTATTAAAAACGGATGGAAGCCCTTGACAGAAAAATCAAACTTCTGGTCATGGCTCATTAATCCCTGTTGTATCTGTCACGGGTTTGTGTTTGGAGTTCCAACAAGCCTCAAGGAGTAAGATCACTGGTGAGCTTTGGTATTTTCTCTCATTTTGAATGGAAAAAGAGATGCCAACTACCTCGGAGAGACAGAATATGAGGTTATTTTTAACCCACCTACTTTTAAGCAAGTTGGTTTAAGATAAAAATGATTATGAATACTAATTCTATTGCCAATATTTGTCATAGACCTTTCTTCAGGAGAAGCAGAAAGGTAAATATGCATGTGGGATAAAGCCAGATATGATGGCTCCTTTATGAAAAGCACAGCTCTCAGAGATAGATCTTCAGGGGAACGTCTGCAGACTCCTTATACGTGCATATGGTCATTGAAGTGCAGCTCTCTATTAAATAATCTCTGGCCTCCTTAGCTGGAAATGGAGATAAGACACCAGTCAACCCAGACTGTTGACATCATCTCAGAAGATAGGACCAGTGGTATTCCAGTTCCTTTGTTGGGAATAATGATCATTTGTAAGAAAATGAATGTCTTAAGCCTTTACCCTGTGACTGCTGCATCATTACAGTTGAGCAAAACCACAGAACCAGAAGAAGCACCATTTTTCCTGCCAATTCAGGGCTTGTGCTCTGAGGTCCACATTTC